GAGAATGCAGCAGTGTTAAAAACTCTTGAGGGAGAGCTTTGCCGCCCTTGTGGTCCTACCCGACTCGATTCCGGATTAGTCGGTTCCCCTGTGGATCCGGAAACCGGAAGGTCCCTGTACCCAAAAAAAAAAAAAAGAAAAATAACAAAAACTTATTTAATGGCCCATGTTATGATTTCAGCTGATTAATTTAAATTTTATATATATGTTGCTTTTATTTATTTATGTATTTTTTTTTTGGTACATTTATTTATGTATTTAAATCTTATTATCTTATGGTTTAATCCTAGTTGTCGGGACTCGATCGGACAGTCACGCAGCATGCAATCTAGCAGAAAATGCAATTAAAATAAAGTCAAAATTCAAAGTCAGTCAACGGATAAAATAAAATTACAGGGCGGGTCCCACAAAACTGAGGATCTCGAGCCTTGACTCTTGACTCCAAAATTGATTCACAATCACAAAAATTTCGAGTAGCCATTTTACCCGATTTGTTGTTTACTTTGAAATGTTGACTTTGAAACCCGCAGCTAAGTTTAATGGCGGGACAACAAAAAATAAATAATAAAATAAATAATAATAATAATAATAATAATAATAATAATAATAATAATAATATAATAATAATAATAATAATAATGGAATCTTTTAATCTTGTGCAGGTCAAGTAATTAGTAGTTTACTTATTAGCTTTAGTTAACTATTTTAATCGACGGATTGTAATAACTGATTTGACCGACATAAAAATTTAGTTGTTTAAAAATTATTTGGTAATATTAGTTGTTTGTCATGTGCATTACTATAATTTAATACTGAGTTGATTTGACATACATATAAATTTAGTTGTTATAAAAATTATTTGGTTACTTATTAGTTGTTTGTCATGTGCATTACTATAATATAATATCTTGTTTAGGTAGTATAAATTTATTTTTGTAATTATTTTATTTAAATACTCAAAACAATTACAAAAATAGATAGATAAATGTACGTTTTTTTTAAAATGACAAATTAATTAGTCCATCAAACTTCTTTTAACTAAAAAAAAAAAAAAAACTTATTTGCTCAATTTCTTAATTAGTGAGATTTTTTTTTTTTTTTTTATTTGTATAATTCCTTTAAACAACTACATCACTACATATATAACAGATTAGTATATTATTATGTAAGGTGTTTATTTGTAGCAGATAAATGATTGTATTATAAGTGGTTAACAAAAAGTTGATTTTAACTAACTAACAGATTATTATATAAAGTGTTTGAGAAATAATTTTTAACAAATATCATATTTATGGTATAATATAAAATGAGCAATCACCACATTAAAAAATATTTTTATTTGGTATATTTATTTATAACATAGGACTATATGATCAACTTATTGTGCATAAATTAATAATATTAATGATTTAGCAACACTAATTGGTTTATAATTAACTTTCTAATATATTATTACACAAGATTTAATTTATAGTAAGCAAAATTATTAATGTGTTTTATTTAAATTAACTTTATATAATTAATGCTAAATATAATTAATAGAAAATTAAATATATAAATCTACGGTTACAATAGTTATTCAATTCTCTCTTAACAAAAACTAACATTTGAAAATATTTCAAAATTGTTTCTTGATTTAAAAAAAAAAAAAAAAATGCATTTACCAAGTATTTCCAAGTGGGGATGACATAGAAAACCTATTTTTACCAAGTCATGAATACCTTATTCCATTTCGATTGGCTCTTGTATATATATATTAACTAGTACAACGCCCGTGTATTATACGGTTGCTTGCTATTTTTTTTAATTTAAAATTAATGAGAAAAAGTAGTTGAAAATTTAAATACCTTTATAAATATATATATAAATATTATTATATATTTAGTATGACACTTTTTATGTGTGCGACTTACCTGTGTTATATTATAATTTTTTTTTAACTTACAACATATAACTACATTAAACATAAATATATCAATTGAGAAATATTTTTCTAATGAATTTTTGTAAATAATATATTATTTTTTATTATTATAAATATAAATTTAATTTATTTATTTCATATATACAACATGGATGACAAATCGAAAATCATCAAAAGATGATTAATTTGATCTATTATATATGTAAAACCGATAAGAAATACAAAAGTTATCAACTTTTAAAATACATTTACAATTCAATAGCTAATTGTATGAAACAGATAAAAAATCAGGGATATATTAGTCACTTAATGTCTCACTATGTAAAATTACAAAGAATTAAAGGGTTATATTAGTACAAGTGATATTAAAATACCTAACACCACAAAAAAAAACTCTTACATTCCAACGAAAATTTTTCGTTGAAATTCTTTATATTTTTCGTTGGAATAGCTATTTCAACGGATATTCCTACGTATAAAAATTCGTGGGAAAAACAGTCGTTCGAATAGCTAAAATCCAACAGAAAATCCTAGAAATAAATTCCTACAACTAGTCCAACAGAAAAAATCCGTTGGAATTCCTCAACCATCCAACACTTATTCCAACATAAAATTAAGTTTGTTGGAATATTCATTGGAATTTCCAACGGAAATTTTTGCCGTTGAAATTTTTCGTTGGAATTGAAATGTTTTCTTGTAGTGTAAGTTAGTTAAATAATATTTATGGAATACCCGAACCTAGATTATTTATTATTAGTATATCAATATTATTTGTCTAAACCTAATTACGAAGCATGATTCTTCGCCAAGTAGGATTCCAAAGCACCAGAAGCAACCACGTAGGCTCAGCGCATTCGAGAATTATATACAGGGGGATTTATAACGATACATTTAAACAACATATTTAACAACACATTAAAATATTTTACATATTATTAATAATTATACACATTATTACCTATTATACAATTTTAATTTTAATCTTTATGTATAATGTATTGTTTAATTTTTATAATCTATTAAACAGTAATTAAAACCAACTATAAATTATCTACTCAACTAACAACTGTCAGTATCATTCAACAGCTACCATCTTTTAATTTGAAATCAACTATATATATGCTTGGACCGTACGAATTATTCAATTTTTTCAGCAGTTAAATTTAAAAACAAATAAGATATTAATAAATAAAATAAGAATCCCGTGTCCCGTCAGTTGGGAAGGCTTGGGTCTATCCCTACTTTCGGCAATGTTTTGATTAGTAATACACAATAGTCACGAATATATTTAGGGAGATGTTACGGTCCTGTTATGGAACTATTCTGTTGGGGTTTGTAACCGTAAGATCAACAATCTCCGACAATTAATTACATATTAATCTAACAGTTACAAACTCTGATAGAAATTACAGAGGTAGCTCTTTGAGTCCAGTCCATGCTGAAACTAATAACAGCACTAACAATTTTGTTAATGTACGTGCATAATAAAAGTACCATCACATAACTACGAACGTCCCTATATATAACAGCAATAATTTGCATCCCTAACGTAAGAAACTGGGGGAAAACGGGTACGGACTCACTAACACCATAATCGGAGAAAGCCCACATGAAGTCTCACTAACACCATAATCGGAGAAAGCCCACATGAAGCCAAGGGGGTTTCATCCCAAAACCAATTAGTGCAAGGAAGATTAACTCATTAGACTTATAAGGTGTGTCTATTTTCTATGTATGAACAATGTGGGACAACTCACAAGTGATATTCTAACAACTAACACGTATATTGAAATTAATATACTAAGCGGAATAGGAAAAAAATAGGTAAATTGGAAAGATTACTTTAATATAATATAAATAAAATTTAAATTCTAATATCCAAACCCTCCGACAGAATAAGTCTAGACCAAATATATTTGACTAAATCTAATGGAATTATCGAAATCTAGCTAGTCCAGCATATATATATATAAATATATATATATATATATATATATATTTCTCGATTTTTTATTTTTTTTTTGGTGCAAAGAGAGCCAGAAGAGTTAGTACTCGATGAAGGTACGACACCCGATATTGTCATGATCAATCCAAGCTCCTAACCCTTCAGGTGGAATTACCAATCGATGTAAGCCAATCGGATATGATGCCGCCAAGCCCGCCATATAATCAGCCACAAAATTTAGTTTCATACAAAGGATTTTATATAAATACTTATGTAAGTGAAGAAACATATTCGTCTTAATTTACTTCATATTTTGTGATATACCACTTGTGTATATCCACAAATAACGAAATTAATTAATAAGATTGACAATATACTAATACTACTACTAAGAAAAACAACAACAATAATAATAAAAAAAAACATCTAAATATGAATTAATTTACTAATTATTTGCTTAGGATGGATTAATTGTTTTCCTAAGAAGTTACAATTGAGAAATTTTATTATGTCCTCTCATGAATAAATGGGATTAATCCAGTACTTAGTAGTGGTCATATGTGATGGCTCAATTACTATACATTTGACCAAATAATAAACAAATAAATAAACCACGACTATAGCAGTACATAGAACTAAAGTACCTAAAAAAACACTAATAGATGTTAGTTCAAGTGGTAAGCAACTTGATATCCCTTAAGCAAGGTCTCGGGTTCGAGTCCTTGTGAATACAAAAAACCCTTGTTGGGAGACTCACCCACCATTGTCAGGTGCGCGACCCGGATCGACCAACAGATTAGTCAGGGTAACACTCCGGATACCGTGGCTGGCTAAAAAAAAAAAGTACCTAAACAAATAAAAATAAAAATAAAAACTACTAAGATCCAAATTTGAAAAGTCATAATAATAAAGAACGAAGGTACTATCACCTTTCCAATTGCCTCTATATAAAGCACACAATATCCTCGTCCATGCAACTCCACTCCACACACACACACACACTAAATATATCAGACTTCACATAGTTACTACTTAAGAGCCTTCTCAAGCAATTACAAAATTCTTTATTAATATTAAAAAAAAAAAAAAATTACTCAAGAATTAGATTTTGACGAAGAGAAAAATTTAATCATGAATTCAAAGGTTTTGCAGAAACTGAGACCTTTCATTGGTGTTATCTTCTTGCAATTCGGGAGTGCCGGTTTTGGTATAGTCGCGAAGGCGGCTCTAAATCAAGGCAGCAGCAATTACACTTTCGCCGTCTACAGAAACGCGATCGCCGCTGCTCTTTTCATCCCTTTCGCCCTCATTTTCGAGAGGTCTCTAATAATTAATAATAAATTAAATACATCAAATTTTTATTTCTAATTCTTTCGATATATATATATATATTTTTTTATTCGATCTCTTGATGATTTTTATTCATTTGAACAGGAAAACCAGGCCGAAAATGACGTTCAGCGTAATGTGGAAGATCTTCTTGCTTAGCTTATTCGAGTAAGTAGTTCGAATAAGTTGCATAATCATATAATAAATGTGAAGTAATTATTAATAACGTGTGACCGTGTTGATTGTAACAGCCCGGTTATCGGCCAGAACATGTTCTATGCCGGGATGAGATATTCGTCGGCTACTTTTGCTGCAGCTCTGTGCAATCTCATTCCGGCTATCACTTTCGTATTGGCTTGGATACTTAGGTTAGTAGTTAATTTCGACTAATTCAATCACATATGTGCTTGACTGCTTGTCCTATACATACATAAAGTACTAAAGAATATGTATGATTAATTTTATTTTTTTGCAGGATTGAGAAAGTGAACTTCAAAAGCCTTCACAGCCATGCAAAGATTATGGGGACTCTGGTTACTGTAGGTGGAGCCATGATTATGACTCTGATTGCCGGGCCCGTGATAGGATTGCCATGGACGCACGAATCCCATGATAATCAACAAGCCTCTGCAAACCCTGAAAATCCTGTTAAGGGAGCTATCATGATCGCCGTCGGTTGTACCGGCTATTCCGCTTTTTACACTCTTCAGGTATATATATACATATATATTTAAGGGAAATGCTACGGTCCTATTACAGAACCATTCCGTCGAGGTTTATAACCGTCAGAGATAGTTGATCTAACGGTTACAACTCTCGACGGAATGGTCACGTAATGAGCCCGTAGCATCTTGCTATGTTTAAAATCTACAATATATTTCAATTTAATTCCATGAGTTTATAATTTGTTCTTGTTAGTCTAAAAATGCCAAGCATTTATTTTGTGTTTGGATGTATATATAAATAGGCAATTACATTGAAATCGTACCCAGCTGGGCTTTCTCTAACGGCTATGGTGTGTTCTCTTGGAGCCTTCCTCGGGACTATTCTCACTTTCGTGGCCCAAAGAGGAA